CACTATTTAGTGAATTAATTCTTCTACATACCAAGTATGATTTCTTTTGGCCAGTCTAGTATCCAGTGAATACACATGCTGAGTGTATTTCTTTACAATGTCAAAAAATCACTATTATCTATGATTTTCAAATGGTGATTTGCAAAGAATATGTTGTCCATAAAGGCAGTGGCTCTTCAGTGTTTGTTGCTGCTTCTCCTTGTTTTCAGCTGCTTCATTGCAAAAAAAAAGAAAAAGTACAGCATTCAAATAGTGCTCTCTTTTTTAGCAAGTAAGTGTTGGAATTGCCATAGACATGTAAAACAATTGCAAATTAAAAAGGAAGGAGCCCATGATAGAATCTCTTCATTAAGATATATATTACAGAATATCACATTTGATTTCTACAATTTTTCTTTATAAAATCAAATTACTCAGACACTGGAAATATAGGAAAACTGTGTAATATTATTTACCTTTTTATCAGAGTCTCTTTATTCTTTCCACACATTAAAATATATAGAGAGAGTCTGACTAGATTTTGGCTCATAGTATTTGGGTTAGTCTTAAAAACGGCAAAACTTTGTGTTAGTTCATCTGCACTTAGTTTTAGTTCAATCTGTGTTTAGTTTTACTGTGGCAAACACAATAAACATGATTATATTTCTCATTAGCTATTTGGGATTATTCTGAGCAAACTAGAAGAAAAGGTTTGTTGCCTTTTTTTTTAACTTACACTTTTTAAAGCTATATTTCCCTGGTTTTAGAATTTTATAACTTGACAGGAAAAAAGTGATTTTTCTTGAAATTGCAAACAAGGTCTCAACTGGAAAAAAACACTCCAAATTTCAAAATACTGTGTCATATTCAAATAATCAACTAATCATAATGAAGTTTAATTAGAATGGGATGCCTCTTATAATGGACAAGTGTCTTCAGTATTCAGCATAGTTTAAGAGCTAGGCTGTGTTAGTTCAGGAAGCTGCCAGTGCCTGTACCTCAGCAAGCATTTCACCTCATGCTCACCTCAAACATGTGACCCGATTCCTGGATCATGAGTGAATTTCAGAGTATGTTGTTGAGTTGAAAATTTAAGCCCTGTGCTTCAAGAATAAATCCACTTTTTTTGTAGTTTCTGATAGATTTAGGCTTGGAACAATAAGAATGTATACTAGAATCCAGCATTTTGCTAAACACTTTCTACAACTAATGTGATAAAATTACTGATTTATGTGGAAGCAGCTCCTGGTGTGTGACCTTACCCCATTCTTCTCCTCTTCTTCATTAAATATGTTTATTCATCCAGCCATATATGCAGATAAGGATGCTTCTTTGAAAACAAAATGCATGTTGCTTGAGGCGCCTTTTATTTCATTAAAGTTGGATAAATAAGAAGTCCTAGTTTAGCACAACAAGTCATATTCTGGTCTTGATAGACTAATGTCTCGGCAAGATATTAATCCACAACTGATGAGAAACTTTTTTTGAATCTGTTTGTTCCAGAAATAATGTACTTTCTCCACACCAAAATCCTTCTTCCTTCCATAAAAGAAAATCATTATAATAAAAAAAACCATTTATTTATTTCAAGTAAGTTTCTTAGATGAATCATACTTGAAACTTCATGGCAGAACGATGAATAACCAAATTTCAGATTGCAACTTTTGATTTAAAGTTTCTTTTGCATTTTGATCCAATGTTAAGAAACTTGGATGTTTTTTGCAATTTTCTCAGAAAAGCTTTTTTCTTGATTAATAGGTGCAACAAAATTGGAACTTTTTACAAAGTAAATAAAACAGTGGTTTCTCAGTTTTCCTCTTCTTCCCTTGTAACTCACTGCATAAACATACCTACAAGCAGCTATAAAAATAACATTCAACATCATATGAAGTTCTTTCCTAATACATCAATATTTTGTTCAGGCTGCAACTGTGGTAAATATTTCTCTCCCTTTCTGCTCCCTCCCTTCTCCAAATCTTGGGTGTTTTCTATGATTCTGTGTCATTGTGAGTAAAATGTCAATATGTGTAATGACACAGCACAGTGAAAACACATATTTTCATATTCATGTAAACTCATGTAATTGTAAATTAGGCTGTGCCACCCGCTATCATAACATACTTCATGTGAAAAGATGCTAAATTTACTTGACCTACTTTCATCTTCATGTTTAGGAAACAGGGTATAAGAAGTAAACAAAGTAGTTGTGCCTCATGCAGGAGATGATTATTGTTCGAATTTATGATTCATGCCTTGAGCAAAATTTTGTTTGTGGTCTCATTTGCAACCACAATTTATATCTTTACTAGGGATATACAGTGTGTTTGGGAGGTTATATATTAGGCATTCTTTGCACAGGGACAGTTTTCTAGCTTTGGGTATAGTATTTGCTATGTTTCTGGTAGCTGTAAAATTTTTTGGCGTAACATTTATTGTAGTAAATATGAAATTTTCAAATTTTTTGATAATTGCAATTCCCTCAAGGAATATTTACATCAATGCACTTGTTACAGCTAACTCAAGCTAGTATTTAAAAGAGTTGTCAATCCTACAAACAATGAGTCATAAATGCAAGTAGTTACTCTTTCAGTATTTCCTAACCATAGTGTTCAGTTTTTAATAACAAGTGTTTAATTTAAATTAATCTGTATTTTTAACCCAAACTAAATCAAATATTGTTAAACATTTCTGAAGCCCAATGAAGTCATCTTTTCAGAGAAGGATGCTAATTGCAGAATTGTTCTATTATCTGGTAAAGCAGACTGAATAAGCTTAGGTCTGTAAAACAAAAATCTATGAAGGATGTAGATTTGGAGAAATATTTACAATAAGACAGGGGGAAACAATAGATTGCCAAATATATAATAATGCACTACCACAAAACAGTAATTAAAAAATAGACTTTTCTATCTTTAATGTTTATGAATCTATTATTCTCTTTCGGTTGCTGTTTAGTGTGACATTCCTGTGAGCTGTCAGATAAAGCCACAACTGATAGAATCACAGATGATATACCTGATCCTTTTTCTTTTTTATTTTAGTGCATCCTTTCTTCCAAATGCAGATTCTTTACAGATAAATTCTGGTTTTGAGTTATAGAAATAGAGTTACTAACCCTCAGGTGGCAAGACTGCAATAATTTCACCTTTTTGTTTTGTCTTTCAGAAGGCAGAAAATTCTAATCATAACCTGAGGAGTAGGGGGGTTTTAATTAGCCATGGGACATCCATGGAAATCTATACTCCAGGAGGATTGCACACGGATCCTGACACTTCCAGCAAAAAGACACAACATCTGTCCCTGTCCCAGATTTTCTGAGCTCACTGTCTGCCCCAATACCTAATTCCTAAAAGGCTGGTGTTCAGGAACTCTCACTGGCCTCCTTTTCTTTGCCTAAATAATGGTTGTAAAATTTAGTGAAAGCAAGGTGTGTTGTACAGTGCCTACTAGTTCTACTACCAGCCTTGCAGTTCTTTCTTTCACCTCCTAAATCTGTGGACTCCTGACTTCATTAAATTATTATGGAGACTTAGACCTGTCATGGTGCCCAAGAAGAAAGCAGTGAAGATCTCAACTTGTACCCTCACCTTTAGTACTCTTTAAGCTCAGGAGGTAAACCAGAGCACCCAGTATCTAATGGGTAGTGAAAGACAAAATCTTTTGCCTTCTTGTCCTCCTTCCAACCTTCCACTCCACCACTGTGGGAAAAAAAAGAGGGTTCCACAGTGGTGGTCAAGGTGGAGGTGGTGACCCATGTTCCTCAAATGGGAATTTAGGATGAACTAATTTCTCCATCTTTGTTCTGCTCCTTAAGAGAACTAAGCAGCAAGTCTCAACAAACTCATGTTACTCAAAGACATTGATACATGAGAGAGTAGAGTCTTACTGACTAGTCTAAAGGAGCATGCCAAATTACTTTTCAAAGACAGAATCATTTCACCTACTTGTGAGAGCTAAATTTCAAGAATATTAAAAGGAAGAAAATTACTGCATGATAGGGAGCTGCCATTGTAATATGTGCTGCTTAGTGCTTGAACATTGTAACTGTCAAGCTGATTCTATTATGAAAAAAGGAGTAATTTAACATTATTTAATATTCACAATATGCACATATTGAATGGAAGTGTATGTAGAATGTAAGGCCTTATTTCAGCATAAATGAAATTTTAATCACAGGAGTACTTCTATTGGTTTTAATAGGATAACTTATTCTCACTTTTATGCATGTGCATAATAAATAAGAAGTTACTAATGAATATGTTTAAAAATCACTGTGGTATTACTTTCAAGAAAGTATTACTTTCAAGAAAATATAGAAGATATTCTAACTTTTCAAGTGCTTCTTACCAAGTTTGTGGGATTGATTCTCCATTCCACATTGCCTACGAATGTTTTATTCTGTTAGCTATATCAGGGCCTTCCTTTGGTACATGGGTAGCATGAATATAAATGAGAACAAAATTTAGTTTAATTGGGGTATTTCCCACGTACTGAAGGTTTAATGCCATTACAGCAAGTTAGCTGACTAGTGCTCAGATGAGAAAGATGGAAAATATAGGAGGGTGTGTGTAACTGTAGAACTGACTACTTTGCAGATTGATGCTTGAAGTGTACAAGACATGGCAAATAGTATCATGATTTACCTTAATGTTCTGGTACAACACATTAGGAATATCAGTCATTTTGGAAAGGTGCTCAGAAAATTCCTGTATGTTCTCCAAGGATCTACAGATAGCCAATAATTTACAGAAATCCTATCATTTTTGGAGCCTGCCTGCCAGCACCATTTTTGTCTACTTTGAGTCCTGTCAGGTTTCTGCTTCTGCATTTTGTTCAGTGATTGCAATGTGATATACAGAGATATCTTTGGGAGTAGAAAGTGGCACCTAAGATTTGCTCACCCTTCTGTCATCTCCAGCCCCTCCACAGCTGCATAGGTAAGAGCCTACCAGCTTGTTCTCTACTGCACCCTTTTCATCTGGCCTTATTTGCTGTATAACAGTAAAGCATTGGCAGAGTAGTTGAGGGATAATTTATTATTTATTTTATTTTATTGAGAAGTAATTCTGTTTATGGGCTGCTTCACTCCAGCTAGGTGAAGTATCTTCTTAGTAAGGACTGTAAGACTGAAAAGAGAGAGAAGTTGCCAGTAGTGACAATAAAATAGCAATGCTGATTTGTTATATGAAATCTATATAATTTATAAATGGAAATACAACAAAGAGACCAAATTAAAGGTGTAAATACAGATGTTCATACCCAAAAAGATTTTAGAAAATTAGTTTTCTAGATTATAACTTTTTTTAGTAGTAAGTGCAAATATTAGGAGAGTGACATGAAGATCGCTGAAGGCATTAGGTCTAATCACCCATGTTTCTTCCATAGAATAGGAAAACTGTAGCAATATCTTTTAAATTACAGGCTTAAATATCTGCAGTAGCAGTGCAACTTTTGGACTTCAGCAAGTATTTTTAACGTTGCAGCCTTTACATAATTACCTTAATGTGAAGAAAGGCATATCATGCTCCATTGCTCCTTGTGTGAGCTTTAAGGAAAAAAAAAATCTTTCCATAAAAAGCTTCTTAGGTTCAATTGAGCAAAAGAGTTCATACGGGGTCTGCAGTTGCAGCTCATAATTCCTGTAGACAGGTTAGGTTGCTGTGTGATGATCGTAATGAAGTTACATAAAGGCGTTGGACTAGATAAAGCAAAGCAGCCGCCGGATGAGCTCTCCGGGCGAGCGGAGCGGGCGCGGGAGCCCGGCGGTGCCCGGCGGTGCCCGGCGGTGCCCGCGCTGTGCCCGGCGGTGCCCGCGCTGTGCCCGGCCGCGCTGTGTCCGCGCTGTGCCCGCGCTGTGCCCGGCCGCGCTGTGCCCGCGCTGTGCCCGCGCTGTGCCCGCCCGCGCTGTGCCCGCG